TTGCATCAAAAATATTGTGCTCAAATTCATCCTTCCTTGGTTTCGTGGAAGGTTGGTAATTCTCGTATTTGGAAAGCTGTGGTTAATGCTAGAACCACTGCTAATGATTGCATATTTTGGGGCATTGGTGATGGTAATATTTTTTTCTGGAATGATAATTGGGTGTTGTCACATAACTCTGATTATTCACACTCTCTTCATACTAATTTCTTATTGGTCTGTGATTTCTTTACTCATGATGGATGAGATTTCTCTAAATTGTGTTCTATTGTGGGGGAACAAAATGCAAAACATATTTTTACTATTCCTATTACACCTACACGAAAGAATCTCCCCATGTGGAAAAGAAATAATTCTCAATCGGTTTGCAAACTTATTTATGACAATTTACATTCACATCGTGATTGGTTATGGGGAAAATGGATTTGGCATAAACTTGGCGATACTTTCTCGTATTTGGAAAGCTGTGGTTAATGCTAGAACTACTGCTAATGATTGCATATTTTGGGGCATTGGTGATGGTAATATTTTTTTCTGGAATGATAATTGGGTGTTGTCACATAACTCTGATTATTCACACTCTCTTCATACTAATTTCTTATTGGTCTGTGATTTCTTTACTCATGATGGATGAGATTTCTCTAAATTGTGTTCTATTGTGGGGGAACAAAATGCAAAGCATATTTTTACTATTCCTATTACACCTACACGAAAGAATCTCCCCATGTGGAAAAGAAATAATTCTCAATCGGTTTGCAAACTTATTTATGACAATTTACATTCACATCGTGATTGGTTATGGGGAAAATGGATTTGGCATAAACTTGGCGATACTTTAGTTCTTTAATACCTATTGATGATATTCTTAAGTTAAAAGGTTTAAAAATGGTCTCGAGATGTCATATGTGCAAAATAGAGGAGGTAGACATGAGACACATTTTCTTTGAATGTGCTTTCTCTTTAAGAGTATGGGATATGCTTGGTGCACATTTCGGTTTTTCTTGGATGCTTAGAGGCTCTTTAAGAAAATATTTATGGCAATGGAAAGATTTTGATATCTGTAAGGAGGGGTTTCCCCTTCCTTTACTAGTCCTTTGGTTTCTTTGGAACTCCAGAAAACAGTTTTAAATACCACACTTCTCCCCCCACTGCTTCTATGACTGTTGCTTATGTGATTACCTATTACAATAAAGTCTTAATGGCTGGTTCTACTCAGGTTCAGGTTTTAAAGCCCCCAGGCTCATTAGGTGGGCTCCCCCCTCACCGAGTTATGTTAAATTAAATGTGGATGGCTGTTGGCATCCTGATTATGCTGCGGTTGGGGGAATATTTAGAGATTTTGAGGGTAGGTGTCTCCATTTTTTATCCTTCCCTGTTGTTGCTGATAATCCATTGGAAATAGAATGTTAGGGGGTTTTTTTGGCATTAATGGTGGCTAATGTTTTCAATTTTCATAAATTAGAAGTGTAAATGGATTCTCAAATGCTCTATGATATTCTTTTGGGTACCTCTCCTCACCTCTGGGATATATTTTGCACTTTTAAACGTATTTTAATTTTTATGGCTGAAAAACATCTTGAGGTAAACTGGAAATTCATTTATAGAGAGGGCAACTCTCCTAGAGAGGGCATCTCTCCTATTGATTGACTTTCCAAGCATGCAGGGGAGGTCTGTCACGTTGGTATCCACCCCCCCTGCTCCTCTTAGAAGACTCCTCATTGGGGATAGTTTAAATCAGCCTTATGTCCGTTTTTAATCATTTATTCTTATTCGCTCTAAGGAGGAGCTGCTTTCGGTTTGATGGCTGGGGTCTACATTTCTCTTCTTGCGGGCTTTATATTTTGCTTATATTTTGCTTGGCAGGTTTTCATTTTGCTGCAGGTCGAGTTCAGTTTTCTGTTTCCCTGTTCCCGACTCCTGTTTACTGTTTTGATCTCACAGTTTTTGCTGGTTTTTCTCTGCCCGTGGAGAAGATTTTGGAGAACTCTGCTAATCTAAGACACCTTTGTACATGATTTCTACTTACTTTTCAAGTTACTTATCAAGCTACACAAGATCACAGACTTACTTATTTTTTGGACTTTTGGTTTTTTTTTTGGGTATACCTGTATTTTGGAGATTATTTTTTTTGTGAGTTGTACTGTGGGGAGAGGAACCCCTAGGGGTGTGTCAATTGTATTTCTTGGGTTTCATAGACGGGGATCTTCCCCCCTCCCTTTTCCTGTATCTTATTTTGAAATTAACGCGTAGGGAGCCACCGTTGATTGGTCATTAATCCTTTAATTCCGTATATATATATATATTTCTTATTAAATCAATAAAATCATTAAATTTTACTTTTAAAGCCTCGATCATTCCCTAATCCATGCGAAAATTTTCTTGCCCTTTGCATTCAATTCTGCCTTCTTCTCACACGTGAGGGTTCCTTATCTTGATTTCCTTCGATCAGCCGCACGACACTAATGCCGACTCCTCTGCTTGACACCGACGCAACCTTTTTTGCTTGATAGAGACGTCATCTTTCGTCGATGCCAGCTCGGTAAAAGCCCTAGCTTACACTCGTCGTCTTCTGAATGCGCCATTTGACTCACCAGGTAAGTTGTTAGGGTCGCCTTTATGCTACAAATTCTCTTGTTCCCTCTGTCTCGTGTTGATTTTTTGGGCAAACTGACTTCCTTGAGTTTCCAACCCTCTCGCTTCATCTCCCTCCTCTTGGGCTTTCCGACTCCTCATTTCCTCCCCCTTCTTCAATTCCCTCGGTATTCAAAACTAAGTGTCACACATTTAATTCAACTAACTCATACTTCATCACAACTAAGTGTCACACATTTAATTCAACTAACTCATATTTCATCATATACTTCATCACGATTTGATCAAAGTCAATTGTTTACTCACTTGGTAGAAAAGTTTGTCGGGCGCAAGTTGTGGAGTTTTAAAAACATGTTTTGTCTATAATACGGGGGTAGATATTTGCACTGCATATTCCTTATCTTCGTAGGAGTATGTGATGGTCTTACTTTTCCTTTCTCGCTGTCAAAAACACTTCAAGTTTTTCCACCATATGGAATCATTTTTTCTTAACTTAATAGCGGGATTTTTAACTGTTATGTCAGGTGAAACATTCATATACTTACAGATTTGTTCCATTGTCTGTAGCCACTCAATAAACTCATCCGGATCCATGGAACCGTCAAAATCTAAAAGTGAAGCTTCACTCAATTATTCTATTTTCTCCTTGGGTATTTCATGTCAAATCATTGGAATATTTGTTGTTTTTCACTAGAAATTTTCTGATATACGTCACTGTTGAGATTACCATTTCGATCCAGTTAGGCTATAAATACACCACCCCAGAGAAATTAAATGATGTAGCACTCCAACAAAAAATAGGGAAAATGAAATCTCCCATTAACAGAAAATCAAACAAAACTCTACATAGCCAGTTTCTAAGCAACATTCTTACACTAAGGCATCATTAATTAATCCCTAATTCTAGTTAGACGAAGGGTCCCACATGGCTAAAACAACCAAGTGGTAAGATAATCCTCTCTTGGGATTGTAGCGGAACTGGACTTCATCCCATTTTGTTCCCAAAATTGTTGGATTGTGAGATGCGGAATGCGAGTGCTCTTGCATTACTAAGGATGAGGATAAAGAAAATGCCTTATGCTATGTTAGCTGTCATTTTATTTTAGTTGAGTTGAAATACCTACCAATCGAAAAATATAGTTTGGCATTAATATTCATAGTTTAGATGTTGAGACATTATATGTTGTTTCATCATTTGAACGAAATCTAGGGTATATCCATTATAATATTTGATGATTCGCTTTATTTTAGCTGGGTGTTTAACCAAGTGTGCTATGAAAGTACTACAGTTTAATATTTTATATATTGCCTAATGAGCTGTCAAGGGAGAAACTCCAGCTAATTTATTAGCAGCTCACTTGGTGCCACCTGTTTCTTTTGCTAATTCTTCTCTTTATTATAATTTTCCAGATGAGCAAATAGCTATCATTGATCTCCAAACATGAGAGTTGTATTTTAATGGAACATTTTCATTAAAACAAGACCCAACTCAACCATTCCATAAAATCAAAGTCGGTATTGGTTTAATTTTTGTATTCCTTGAAGATGGTATTATTCATTATTTTTATAATTTGATAGAGCCACACACCAATATCACGGCAAAATACGAAGCTTTAATTTTATATTTGGAAATCACAATTCTTTTGAGTATAAAGAAAAATTAAGTATTATCGTGATTCTCAAATTGTGATTAGTAAGGTGATGGGCATATAAATCCTTGAGCCTGACCTTTTACCTTATCATAGTCGAGTTATTATTTTTTTGTTGAAACATATTCCTGATGTGATATTAATAAAATTATTGTATACTAGCAAAACACGTGCTGTTGTTAAGTTAGTTACGGAGTTGTCTAATTCAAATGGAGATTCTGTAATAGTGGTGTTCCAAAATTGAAGGATCCTGTAATACCCTTTTTTTTTTATTAATGTCCAAATATAAAGAATACTTAAATTGACTACATTCCATTTTTTTCACCCCATGAAATTGAATTAAAGCTATTACAATTGAGGGAAAAGTATCCATCAATAGAGAGATGAAATTATCTACGAATAGAACTTTGAATAGAAAGGAAAATGGATATATCGAGGGCATTATGGATGAAAGTTGCATGAAAGGATTGGTTTAACTAGAGTCAAATTGCTCTCAATTGGGATGAATAGACAATGTCTAATGTATTCAAATATAAATAGTTGGCGTTAAACTAATGATGATGATAATGGTGTCACATGCTCCGTTCATTCTTTAAGTAATGTTTCTGTAATTTATTGCCACATCTTGATTTGAATTGTTCAAAAGTTAAAATAGTTTCACTTGAGGATTTGTTGAAGAAGCTCTTTAGTCTTCCTGGCCATTAACTTATTTTTTTTATTTTGTCTTTTAGTAAATACAAATCTTGTTGTTTATGCTAGGTATGTCATTGATACGGGTTATGTGAAGCAACGTCAATATAATCCATCGACTGGGATGTATTCTCTTGATGTGGTTCAGATTAGCAGGTAGGGATTGTTGATAATTTTATTGATGATCAAACTTGTTGCATGCATCATTATTTATGTTTATTTTCCAGTTATGAAATTAATGATTGAAAACTTGCTGGTGATTATCTTGAATTCTGACTATGAGAGTTTGAACGGCGTTACAAGTGTAATGAAAGAATAATTTACAGGATAAAGTTATTTCAATCTAGTTAAAATGTAGAATCGCCAAAGTTGTATTGTTACTATTAGAGAATATGAAGGAGGCATGAACGTAGTTTTTTATTCGGACAATAAAGACAAATCATTAATAGCCAAATTCACTGTGGCGTACATAAAAATGCTAAAATTATTGTATGACAAACTGAGGCATACATTTACAGGTGATACTTCTTCTACAATGAAAGGGAATGGGAAATAATGGAAAACAATAAACATGACACATAATATAAAAAGGGGAATAACTAAGCAAATTGAGGATGCCTATAAGTCCTGCAAATCTTCAAAAGTTGAATCCTACTTTCAGTAAAAAAAACTACTTAAGATGGATGTGTGGTTAATGAGTCTCAAAGCCTGCCTGAATAGTCTAAAATTGAGAGCATTTTTATGCATGTGATTAACTGATTGAGGGGTTGTTTGGTTGGAAGATTTAGTGTACTTTAATTCTTTTACAGGGACTTGTGTTTGGCATGAAAATACAAACATAATGTAAAATATGAATGAATTTGAAATTTATACCATAGTTCATTTTGACCGAATTTTGAATTCGACCAATTTTGATAGAATTTAAGATATACATATCGCTCATTTCCATCGTATGCTTGTCTCCGCTGATTGCTTTTTGTAACCCGTTGCGGCCGCCTCCTGATCGCCGTTGCCGCAATCCACTCACCGCATTCTGCTCGCCCCAGCCCGCTTGCTGCGGTTAGCCTTTTAATGTCCTACCACCAGCCGCTGCTGTCGCCTGCCCGTTGCCATTGCCCGCTGCCACTGCTGGCCATTGCCCGCTGCCACTGCTGTCGCCTGGCATTGCCCGCTGCTGCTGCTGTCGTTGCTGTCGCCTGCCATTGCCCGCTACTGACGCCCTCCACCAGTGGCTCGTCTGCTGTCGCCACATTTGCTCACCAACTGCAAACCGCTTCTCTCCAGCTGCTGCTGCCATCCCGCCGCTGCTGCCATCACTCCCCAGCTATAGCCGCTGCCGGCTTGCCTACCGAAGTCGCTCCCTTGCCCTAACTTCCTTGGTCGCTGATGCCGCCTGCTTGCCAACACCCACTCGCCGCTCATCTGCCTCTTGTTTTCACCGCCCTCCCGCGACCACCAACCCACCGTTGGACACTCATCTCCCGCTTGCTGCATCCGTCCTCTTACTGCCCATCGTTTCCTGCCCCCAGCTTGTTACGGTCGCCGCTCATTGCCCATCACAAACTGCAGCTTGCCGCCTCTGCTTCGTGCCACTCATCGCCCGCCCTGCCCTCGCCGACCACCTCCACCTCCAACCTTTGCTCGCTTGCCTTCGTCGACCTCCCTTCATCACTGCAGCTGCCAACCTTTTGCCTACTGCCGCTACATTAATTAGTTTGAGAAATTAGGAAAACTTTGACGAATTAAAATGTTCCCAAGTTTATCATCTCTCAAATTTCAACCAAATTAATTTTATAAAATTCTACGTCTTAAAACGATCAATTTGATATGTAATACTATATATAAATTATGAATAGATTGTGAGATATAAATCTTGAAAGTTATAGCTTTAATTAAACCTATATAACTCTTAATTACCCCTCCCTAGTGCCTTATTACTGTTCCCTCCGACTTACCCACACGATAATTACCTCTGTTTGGCGTCGAATGTGGGGATCCTCTCCAGAGCCTTCAATTCATTTCCCTGCTTTCGATTTGATCACATAAATCCTTTCCCGATCTTCCTCTCCTGAGTGTTTAGCGCCCGGTCACAACAGTCGCGGTTGTGCATGGTAACTTTGGTCACGACAATGCACGCAGGGGAGGCGAGCGGTTCGTTGAGAACCACAATTCTCTGTTTAAACTTCAATGATGAATTTGGTGAGTACAAAACACTTTCACGCTATTTCATATATTCCTTCCCTTCCTCACACTTCCTTTTTGAGATATGCCTCGACTTGTGCATCTTTTTTGTTTCTAGTCGTCGTAGCGGAGACGAGGTTGCTTTGAAAGCAACGAAATCGATTTAGGATTTTTGTAAGGGTTCAACGAGAAATTAATAAGGTGAACGGTGGAGTGAGCTAAGATAGGAAGAGGGATGAAGATTAGGCAATTTCAGAGAATTGCTGATTAGCGAGAAGCTTTTTAGAGTATGTTTTCGCAAATTTGTTATGTTTTGGTTAAATCATGAATTTACGAATTCCAGATTTTTTACCCGGGGCTACGAGCTCGAGGCAAGTTTATGGAAATTGCTTGAATCTTAAAATATGATTTTTGTTCTATAAGTTATTAATGTCAATATAAAGGTTACGACGATGCTTGCTAAGTACCGAAGATTGAGGGTTTGTTTGGGGCTGCTGCAGCTTATAAATAAGTTGCTGCGCAGAAACTGCTGTGGATAAGCTGACTGACAATTTGTTTTTTGCTGTTTGAAAATAACTGTGCGATAGCTGTTTCTAGATAAAACACCGTGTAGTAATGTTGTTTGTAACGAAACTGTCATAACAATATATTTGATTTTTAAGCAAAAATCCATTTCAGAATAGTACTAAAAATAAAATATACACCCCACTTAACAATGAATATCAAGATTGCTAAAAAAATATTAAAATTATATTTAGTAATTAATGATGTTATTTTTAAAATGCAGACGACGTATATCACGAGCTACACCTTTTCTCCAGTGATGCAATCTATTCTCGATCACTGTTGGCAGTGGAATTTGACAGACTGTTTGCCTAAAGGAAGAAATCACACTTCTCCGTGAATTCTTGTGGGTAGCTCTAGAACCGTCTCTCATAGCTATATGCCTGGCGTGACGTCAGTAGGGAAGTTTGAAGTTTGGAATGGCAAAATAATTGTCGGGAAGTCCTTGAAATCATGGCTCACCTTTCTTGAATGCTACCAAAGACAATCTATTAGTCACAACACAAGTTGAAATTGCTAAAAAAGTAATTATTTCCAGTTTTTTTTGGGCGCGAGGTCTCAATGAGCTCAACATACCAATCAACGAATCTGTCACTTTAAAAAGACAACAGACCTTTTAAAAAATAGTTCTTGGTTTTTTTTAACACACGTTAAATTAAGCTTGTGTGTGTCACATATGCATATCACCAAAAGGGCCATCTAGAAGATCCTCAAAAACTATATTGCCGAAAAGAAGAGAGTAACTTGGGTTATCTGTTTTAGGTTCTCACATGTGACATCAACCAAGAACGACTAACATGCTATCCAGAAAAACCTATAAGGTCAAACGTCTTATCATGGACATCTCAGCCACACTAAAAGGAAAACAAGTTAAATGCAAATGAACAAAGAACACATTCAAATAGCGTAAAAAACTTAAACAGTCAGTATCAAATATACAAAGAATGAAAATAAACAAGAACTGTACAAAATAAACAAGTAGAAATTGATAGAAGCAAGTAATTAGAATTTTTTGCAAACGTGAGGTCTTAGAGAACTCAATATACCGACCAACTAATTTGTCACTAAGAATCTGTCACAATAAGAAGACAGTAGATCTTGTCAAGAAAATGTTTTTGGTTGTCTTTAACCACTAATACGATACTCGTGTCTGTCACATATGTATATCACCAAAATAGGCCTTCGACAAGAATCTCAAAACCGCTGCACCGAAAAGAAAAGAGGAAGTTGGTTGCCTTCATTAGGATTTTACATGCGACACCAATCATGAACGACTACCAGAGCATTCAGAAGAACACATAAGGTCGAACGTCTCATCATACACCCATCAAACCCACAAAAACAAAAATAAATGAAATGCAAATTGAAAAAAAAACACATACAAATAGCGTAAAAAGTCAACAATCAACATCAAATATAAAAGAAAAAAACTAAACAAAAACTGAATAAAATACAAACAATACTGAATAAAGTACAAATAATAAATAATAAATACTCCAATCAACCTCCTACTATGACATTAGTAATTTGTTCCCCCAGCTCTGTCATCTGACTTGCACCTTTTCATTTGCATTACATGTGGTGGATGCATCATTCTCATGTTGTGACAGAGAATGCCAATTCGATGCTCAAATGCTTTGTCATGTATATGTCATGATCCTCATCTGCTCGGTGTAAGTCGATGTTGTTGCGGGAAGAATTTCGTCGAATAAAATTGTGGAGCGCCATTGTGGTAATCATAATATGCATCTGTTTGGGAAACAGGTAAGAACATCGGTATATCCCATTTCTTCTTCCAAACACTGAAAGTACTCTCAATGACACCGCGTGAGGCGAAATGACTTTTAGTGATCCTTTCTTTTTTGCCTCGGTTCATTGCTTGCTCGCTTAAAGTCAGGTTAGTGGTATCTCGTATCAGGATAGGACTTGAGATACCCACACTGCAACAAATATCCAACATCAACTAAGTAGTATTTACCTGATATGCAGTGCATAGTTAGTTGTGAGATAGTTATTTTACAAGAGTAGTTGAGTCTCAAGCGTACCTACAGGTGGATGTGGGAAGTTATACTTATTATTTCGTGTTGCAATTTTGAAAATTCTACTATCATGCGCATTGCCCTTTCAACCAATCATGTTGAAGTCGCACAACCATTTTATTTGCGTTGGGGACCCGCAATGGCTGATGAATGCGATATTCTCATTATTTAGATTACGTGCATCAACATGCGTTCCATCGATTGTTTCAATACTGTTATTGAAAGGTAACGATGTGTTAGGTGATAACGTAGTTTTTTTTGTTAATTGAATGTAATAAATTCAGGATATTATCATAAAGAATGACATGTCTCGTGAAATCTTTATGGTGTCCGTTCGAACGTTGGATCTATTGGTTTTATGACTTGTGCTAAAAAACTCATAAGTGCATTTAACCCCACTGAGAAGCATCTGCATATTTGCCTTAGAGGAGTGTGAAAATCGCTCCATTGTTCCTTGCATTGATTCATTCTGGGATAATATGTAGAGGATTATCGTCAACACGTCTTGCAAAGCCGTCCTTGAAGAGCCATGAAACCCATGATTCCTGTGTACTTATTTCAACAGATTGTTGAATACTGCTTGTGTCATGCGAAATTTATTGCTTAATCTTGTTGGGTAGCCCGTAAGCAACTTCTAAACCCATTTTTCCTCACATATGAAGAGATCATGCAGGGAGAGTGATCAATATAGGAGTTGTAATACCCGTACATCACGCATATGATAACCATAACTCTGTTTCTACGTCTTTCTCTTATTGCATCCATATATATAAGTATCCTATTGGCTGGCACAGAAGCATCAATAAATTAGCTACAATTACATTTACTACGAACATAAAAAAAATATAAGCTAAAGATATAAGCATCGCACCAAACAGTTGTAATTTTCATAGCAAAATAAAAAACAATACAGAGACAAATATACCAAGTGAATGTAACTAAGGAAAAATCTCTCAAATTTTCATACAATCATAAAAATGTCATAGGTACACTACCCTATGGTCTTCGGGAATCTTCACGAAAAAAATTTCAATATGTCGGTTCTTGAGGCAACTATACCTCAAAAGAGTACAGCGGCAAATCCTTTAAAATTACCCTACTTGCATTTAGAATTTGCACGATCTGGTCGATAGAATTTGCTTGAGATGTTTGTGGTTCACCACTGCAAGAAGCTACCGGTTGTGATATCTGATTTTTAAAAGAAGCATTCCAACTTTCCTTTTTTTTCTCATTCTGACGTTTAGAACGACAGGTGGACTCGACTTCATGGAGGTCCGGGCTGGGGACTTTGGTGGAATCACCTGATTGGTCGGATCCCAAGTTTCCGGTGGTGCCACCAAATTCTTTCTCACTTTGGGGCACGTGCATAGTTGTTTGTATCAATGAGACCCCCAAACATTCGATCCAACTTCTTTTCAAACTTAGGATCAAGTCCACAGATTTAAAATTTCTTTGCAGCTGGCACCACCTACAAATTCATAACGTCAACTTCAATTTTAAAACAAAATGAAATTGACCAAATTAGAGAAAATGTCAAAAATGCTTATCGAAAGTCTTTCGGCCTATCACTCCTCAGGAGCTTCAATGGTTCGCTTCATCGGATCCCAACCCAGACCCGTTGATCCTCGTTTCAATTGCTTTCAAAATTTTCAATTCTTCTTGAGTTTATCCCACTTGTTCTTCAATTACATCCCGTCGTACTCTCAGCTTGTAATTTTCTTAATTTTTTTGATAATATTTAGCCACTCTTCCTTGTTGACATAGGTAGTAGGTTTATTTCCCAGATAGATCTCCTTAAGGCAAAGGTCGCAGAATCATTTTTTTTTCTATGTCCAACATTGTGGGTGTTCAAGCCTCTTTGGTCTTAGCCATTGTTTTACTATGATAAAAAAAAGAAACATAAATAAAAATGCAACAAAATATGCACTGACAACAATCAAACAGCCAAACCACAAGCCACAGCAGAACCACCCCAAGCCACAACCCAAATCCATCACCTCAAGCCACAGCGACCACGGTGGGGAGGTTAGGGCAGACGACGAACGCAAAGAACAAAACCGAATCGCGAAGGGCAATGGAGTAATTTTTAAGAGGCGAAACGTGAGCTGAACACCCTATGCTGCGGGCGAAACGAGCTCCCAAACGACCTGGAACTGCAGCGTGAACTCGCACCACGGGCGAAACGCGCCCCCAAACGGGGCATGAGATTCTACTGTGACAATTGAGATGAGCAATTACATTTTTAAGTTTCAATAATCTTCTTTGTTTAAATGTATGTTTGATTTTATGTATGCTAATGCTAAGTTATATTTAAAATTACAATAAATTCTTCATATTGTTACATAGAAATATATGCATAGTATGCATGATAGAAAATATATGAAAGATACGCATGCTATGCATGATAACATGCTACGCATGATAAGCATGATAAGAAAGAATGGTATGAAAGATATGTATGATATAAAATATATATGAGATAAGGGATATATATGATAGAAGAGATATGCATGATAGAAGAGATATGCATGATAGAAAAGATGTATGATATGAAAGATATGCATCATGAATATTTGCATATTAGAGTAAGTATGCATGCTAGTAGATGCATGAAAATATCTCAGAATTGTTTTTGTTATGAAGAATGAAATAATTTAAATATGAATATTCAATGCACGTTCAGAGGACGAGTTCACCTTCTAATGGTACAGGCAGGGGACACCAGTGTATTCGCACACATTTAGATTTTTCTACTACTTCAGACAATTGTAATGGTTGAATCACTAACCGCTGCACCGACGGGATAATAATTGTCAGGGGCGAGTAGGCAGAGCTTACCACCCCAGACCTAGACCTCACGAAAATTGAGGTCAACACACCCCAGATCCCAACCATTTCCTCTTCCTGCAGATTATTACTGCTATCCCACCTACCTAACTCTTCTCAAGGTCATCCTAACTACCCCACTACCGATGCTGACCGCCTACAACCCTTTCCCACTTATTATTCCTATAGTTCTACACCTTCCCTTTAGACTATTGACAGTGATCTTCAAGCAGACAAATGCATAGGTAAAGATTATAAAGTAAAAGTAAAATTAGAAGTAATATGTGTAAAAGTTTGGAGTATTTTTATTGAGTAAAGGTTATTGATACATGCATTAGTATATTTAAAGATTTCTTAAAGAGATATGAAAGATTAACATATTTCATGATTTTTTATAAATATATGAAAGTCTAACATGCATTTTGATTTTTTTTTCTTGGGTTACTGTAATTTAGAAGCATGATTACTCATGTATTAGATGTAAATAACTCGTTATGTTGTTTGAATATTCTTTTTGATTTTAAGCATTTGAACAAGGCGAATAGAAAATGAGCAAATGTGTATAGAGATGAGTACAACAACCAGAAATGTACAAATTTCTACTTGTTACTTTTAATTGCTTTTTTTAGTCATTCTTTTATGAATGTTTGAATATTAATTGTTAATGATAGAATTAGTATAACAGAGATTTGATTTCTACCATTTGATCGTCAGTTTCAATCTTAATTAATTTCAAGCCTCGAGTAGGTCATGACAACCGCTCACCTCTAGCCCACCGTCGCCGCTGAACGTTGTTCACCACCCGCCAGTAATACTTTAGATATTTTGAAATACATTGTTTACAATCTACTTCAAATCTAAAAAAAAAAGTTCTATATTTATTCGAAAATGAACCAAACAACTCCAAGACATTTCAAATACAATACATAACTTTTGTATTACATTCATTCTACACTTCGTTGCTTATTCAGCAAAGGAAACGGCTGCTGATGCCCTTGCAATGCATTTCTATAACATTCTGCTGGAGAATGTAATCGATTATCAGGCATGATTACTCTTTTAGGTTACCTGCATTAATTCTTCTGCTTAAACTTAAGTTTTTCTTCATCTTTATGATATTATTTATAATAGTTAAAGTAACAATTATGATTGAAGGTCTTACTCTTCCGACAAACTCGGTCTTTTATCATCATTGACCATCGCCATGAATCTTTTTGAGTTGCTTCACTACCTTATTGTCAATCTCTTAAAGTATGCGCCGGGTGTTGCAAGCATTTATAAATTGCTGCTTACCAATATAATCCGTCACAGATGTATGAAATTAGGCAACTAGCAATGTTTTAATTGATTGATTTTCTATTCAACGATGCATATCTCATAAATGAATTTCCCGTGTCATCTATTGGCTGCTCCAATATTTGAGGGCATTTTAAGCAGATTACAGTATTAGCTTAATTGTAATATATCTAAAAGCATATTTTTTTGCTTTGTCATTAAAGGGTGTAGAGTTTGAAAAACTCAGTAGTAAGACGTCCGCATAGTGCCACACCACCTTACCTTACTTTCTACTCTTCACCCATGAATAATGATAAAAGGTGAACATTGAGAAAAAATGATTCGTGAGTAGTTGTCAGACTTTATCTTTTTACATGGAAGAGCTGTGTATCCTTTCCAAGTTACATAATGACTGTTTATAATACTTTCTTGACGGAAGGTCATTATGCTTTGTTTTTTAAGCAGATTTATAATTTTCATATTGTAGAGTCCAAGCTGATCAGCGTGCTGGCCGAGCTGGAAGAACTCGTCCGGGGAAGTGTTATAGATTGTACCCCTCCAAAGTCTATCATGAAGAGTTCCTTGATGCTACGGTTCCTGAAATCCAGAGGTCATCTTTGGCAGGAAGTGTTTTATACCTGAAATCACTTAATCTTCCCGACATCGATATCTTGAACTTTGATTTTCTTGATCCTCCTTCACGTAAGCTCCAAACTTTCCCTTGTTATGTCATGCGAACGTCACATTTTTGCATTGTTTTGCACTAATTTTAGTCTCTTTTTGTAAATTAGTTTTTTTGTGTACTAAGTTATAATTAGAAAAGAGGGGCTGTAAAATTTTGGCTGGTCATAAGCTCTAATATCTTATTAACCAACTCTGTCATAGCAGGTAAATGTCACTCTATTTTCTTAAGAACTTCCCCTTTACTCTTATAGGTGAGTCCTTAGCAGATGCTTTAAGGCAGTTATATCTCATTGATGCTATTGACGAAGATGGAATGATAACCCATGTGGGACGGACCATGGCAGGTAGCAACTGAATACTTTGATTGTTGTAATATTTCCATGTAAATCATTATCGCATGCTGCTTGCGATTTTTTATGCTCAAAATTTGTTTAAAATTTTTATGTAAATGATCTTTGGGCTGACTTGGTAATCCTTAGTATCCCAATAGCTCCATTCTAGCTCATAAACAGTTTGTTTCGAATGCTAATTTACATATTGAACTTGAGATAATGTGCAGGATAAGAAAAAATCAAAGTAAACGAAGTTAAATTTGCCAAAATTTGAGCAGTCATGTTATTTTTCTATATATCCATGTGCATATTACATGTGCATGCAAATATATATATATATATATATATATATATAATAAAAATAAATCAACACACACACACACACACACACACACATATATATATATATATATATTTAGAAAAAGTCCAAGGACTAATATATTAAAGAGGAAAAGATACAGATAGGTTGTATGAGAGAGCCTAAAAAAAGGCTCAACTCACACAATACAACACACACAATTCCAAATAAAGCAAAGATACAAAATGATAAAAAACCAAAAAGCTACCAACGGGCGCAAAAGTGCTAGGAGCGTCCCACTTTAGTCCTTCCTCTGCCTCTAGTTCTCGGAAGGGAACGGGCTAACAGATTGGTAAGGTGCGTACCATTAACCGAAATAACCAAAGTATCATCCATCACATTCCTGAGCTCAAGTAGGTCTCCATTCTTCTTCTTCCTTCTGGATGTGTAGACCTGCCATTCCGAGGATTGACTCATCTGATCAATGGATTGGTCCAAAGGTGGCCGAATAAGTGTTGGCTGTTGCACATCATGATCCCCATGAGCTTGAGTTACATTAAGATCTTGTTAAACCTGATGAGGCGGTAGTGAAGCAGTAGAAGTATTTTCACTTGTAATATCAGTGATAGGTTTTAGGGCAAGTGGAGTTTGAAAAATCTCTCTCGCTCCCACGATAGAAGGTTCCAAAGACGGGGAGCTACACTATTGTGTGGAGACTGAATGATTCACATATTGCTTGCGAGGATAGTGACGTCTTCCGGGATATTTTTTTGATGATCAATAATGTCAATAACTTGGAGTTAATCAGGAGGAGATGGATTCATTGCCTCTGGCAGAGCACTTTGCTTTTTTGGTCTGAGGTGGGGGTGTAGATGATGATATTGAGAGCTGAAGTGGCCGAACATACGACAGTTTGAACAATACGAAGGAAAAGACTCAATCACTACCTTTTGCCAATATCCATGGTGTTATGTGTCTAACCAAATTTCCTCAGAAGCGGAAGAAGTGATTCTCTTTCAACAATACTTTAGCTTTAGATGGACGAGAAATATTAAAAGTAAGAATGTTCACTCTCCAATAAGGTGTATAAGCTCAAATTTGTTACAAATAAATTCCATTTTGGGATGATCATACAAAAATTTCAGAGTAACCATATCTATTTGGAGGACGAATGTGCCGAGTTGATCGTCGAAGTATCATTTGAGCATTTTCAGAAGTAGGGTCGGGAAGGACTAAAGATGAAGGGGTCAGGCGTCGTGTGTAGACACGATCAGGCTGGAATCATTTATCAAAAAAAGCATCTTTAAAGTGAGGAGGTAGATTAACAAAATTAGAATATAGGCATTCTCACAAGTAGATTAATGAAATTAGTAGATATTATGATTCATAATATCTTATACATTCAAGAAATAAATGGATTGGAGAAAGGCTATGAAGATTGATAGCTTAAGTTTTAAACTTTGGTATTCAGATAGGAGTTACACTCAAAATGATGCAGTGAAATCTTAGATAAGAGTTTGAAAGATAATCTTGTAAAAATTAATATAATTGAAGATTATATCCATAAAGATTATTGTCGATACTGAGGTTTTTAATGGAAGATTATATCCATAAAGATTATTGTCGATACTGAGTTTTTTAATGGTAGATATTATGATTCATAATATCTTATACATTCAAGAAATAAATGGATTGGAGAAAGGCTATGAAGATTGATAGCTTAAGTTTTAAATTTTGGTATTCAGATAGGAGTTACCCTCAAAATGATGCAGTGAAATCTTAGATAAGAGTTTGAAAGATAATCTTGTAAAAATTAATATAATTGAAGATTATATCCATAAAGATTATTGTCGATACTGAGTTTTTTAATGTATAAGTGCTTATGCTCTTTAAGTAGGTTTAGATATGTTAAAAAGAAAATTTTTGGAATGACGTAGAAGAATTAATACAAATGATATATTTTGAAGAAAAAAGGTTTTTTTGAAGGAGATTTAAATGGACATGTTGGCAGAGTAGTAAAAGATTTGAGAAATATTTATAATATGTCTATGATTTTGGAGTGATTAATTAAAAATGTAGAACTACATTACCTTTTGCTTTAGTTATGATTTTGCTATTACTAATACTTTATTTAAGAGAAGCAATATACATACTAGTACTTATAATAAAGAATCTAATAAAACACATGTTATTTTTTTATGAGAAAAAAAACTCATCAAGAATGTAAATATTGTTAAGTCATTCGAAATGAAAATTGAAGTACTCAATATTGATTATTAATTTTTATTTTTAAGATGAGTTGGAAGATAATAAATACAATGAGATATTATAGAATTGGATGAGGACATCTAAATGACAAATAAAATTATTAATTATGAATAAACTCAATGATTTAAAGCTTTAGGATGTTCATGAAGAAGTTATTTCTCTGTGGGATAAAGTAACAAACACTATTAATCAAGTGACAAAATATATTTGGAAAACTGATGCGCCCCTGGTGTGTGCTATTTTTTTGCATGTTTTATGTCAATTTAAATCCCAAGTAATAGTGCCAAAAACTTAACCCGTCCCGAAATTACCCAGTAATTTTGAAATATTATAAAAAATAGAAAATAGTTCATACACTAGTAATTCTACGCAAGTGCATGCATCGCTTCAAGTAATATATGACTTTCTTTAAAAACTCTAGTATCAATCCCATAGAAAAACGAGGTAAGAAATCCCTTAGGCTCATTCTAGTATACTACTATCAGTCCTTAGTTTAAGTGGTTTTTCTAACAAGTATTCCTAAATGTAAATCTTATGTTTAAAACAACCAACAACTAAATGAAAATTTTAATTTTAAATGTAACCATTTATGAATGAATTGACTTGGAGATTTTGAGATGTTAAAAACTACTATTCTTATGTAGTGAATTGGATAATATATATGAAAGAGGTACATTAAATATTGTATGTGCTTTATTCTCTGAGAGTGCATAAAGAATATTGACTAATCTAGAGTTTGGTCTCTAAATCCATGAGTATGCTGAGAGGATATTAGCTCCCACATCAGAGCTCTTACTTCTCCCTCTTCTGAGGGCTAGCAATCTCGCTTTAGTTTCCAAGTAACCAGACCAATTTGGGAATTTTAGTCTGTCATCATAAAATCTTCAATTTTACCCCATCAAAGTATATTTCTCTATTTATTTGCCTTCAACCCCATGAACTATATTTCATAATATATATATTCAGCCATGAAATTGAATGTGATTTTTACTTTGTTGTAGAAATCATATCTCTTTTGGATCTTATGTTTTTCAACAAATTTTAACATTATAGCAGACCTAAATTGTAATGTAAATGAAGTTTAAGTAAAAACCATCACATTTATAATTAAATCGCATACTAACATGTATCCCAAAGTCCTACACATAAATCCTACTCATTGCAAAAGAAAAGCAAAATGAAAATAACGGCATAATCTTTTCATTCCATTATTTATAAATATGAAGAAAAAGTAAGATAAACTATTCAGAAAACACGAAGAAATCACAAAGAAAAACTTCATTACATCAAAGCAAATCCACTAGATAAGTGTTTGCAAAATCATATGATAATGAAGAACACAATACTTAATTTTTCTTCTTTGAAAGAAAGATGAAGATCTCTCCCACAAAGTCTCCCGTTGATCCATGCAATGCTAGTACAATTCCTTACAAATTCTCTCAAAATCCCCTCTACAATTTCTCCAAAAAAAGTAGAAATCTAAATTTCTACTCCTGTTCTAAGATCTCTAAGCTTCATCTCATTTTTCCTAACATACACGGTCATTCCTAATATACACAGTCACACACACACCATGAGAGGCGCCAGCCCCTCCTATTTTAAAGAGACACAAAATTTTTTCTTTTTCCCAAAAGACATAGAGACAATCTTTTCATTCCAAGAGATATATCTCTTCATTCAAGAGCTTTTCCCAAGTATGTAGATTTATTAAACCACTCCATGGGGCGTTTGATTCACTTAGAGCCTTCTATAACATCTCAAAATAGTCAAAAACCAACAAAAATCCGACTATAAACGTCTCTGGCCTCCGACACCGGCTTCTGGCGCTTGTTTTTTGGATTTTGGTGTTTCTGGCGCCACTCTTGCGCCTGTTCTCTGAAGGCACCTGTTCTCTTAATTCTGGCGCCAGTTTTGGCGCCTTTGGTGCCACCCTGCAGCAGCTGCACCGTTTTAGCTTTGTTTTTCCCCGTTTTAGTTGCGTTTCGCTCCTAAGAGATATATCAACAAGATAAACATAAAAATAACCTTTCTTTAAAGAGTAATTTCATTTAAAAACATGTGAGAAATGTAAAAGAGATTAAGAATAGAAAGACATCGAAATGTGCCAAGTCGTAATTTTATTTCTTACTTGTTTTTGCTGAAAATTGCACCATTTTTATTTCATTTTCACCAAAAGTCTATTTCTTATATCCGAAGACAGATATGCAAAATACATTTTTTTTAAGTCTAATATCATTAAAAATGTGCATAAAATGAGCATGAAATGTACTTTAAAAATAGGTAATTTTTAGGTGCATCAATACCCCTAAACTTAAACGTTACTTTTTCTCAAGTAACACTATAACTTTAAAAATATGTTGGTTTATGTTAGTGGGTTTTTTTTAAGATGTACTAGAAATGTTATAATCTAACTTAGAAGAATTTACAGTAATTTAGATGATATCAGATGTATCAGAATATTTAGTATTAAATTATAGAAATCCTGATTTTCTATTTAATTTAGAAATAATTGAAATTTTTTGAAACTTTGGATTCTTAGAAAAATATTAATTTCAGAATTTATGACATCTAGAAAGAAATAATTTTAATAATACCTCATGAAATTAAGCTTAGGATTGATCCTAAGTTTTCTTCTTCAGAAAAATCACTAATTTTACGTCCATGAAAATATATATCTCTATTTTTTTGCACTCAACCCTATAAACTATATTCTCATCCACGAAATTGAATGTGATTCTTACTTTGTTGTAGAAATCATAACACTTTCGGATCTTATGTTTATGAACAAATTTTAACATTACAACAAACCTAAATTGTTATGTAAATGAAGTTCAAGTAAAAAACATCACATTTAAAATTAACTCGCATACTAACATGCATCCCAAAATCCTACACATAAATTCTACTCATTGCAAAAGAGATGTAAAATGAAAACAATGACATAATCTTCTCATGCCACTATTTCCAAACAAGAAGAAAGAGCAAGAAAAATTACTCACAAAATACGAAGAAAATACAAAGGTAAACTTCATTACATCAAAACAAATCCACTAGATAAGTGTTTACAAAATCATAAGATAATGAAGAACACAATACTTAGCTATTTCCCTTTGAAAGAAAGATGAAGATCTATTCCGCAAAGTCTCCCGTTGATCCATGTAATGGTATTACAATTTCTTACAGATTCTCTCAAAATCTCCTTTTCAATCTTTCCAGAAAAGGTAAAAATCTACATTTCTACTCCTATTGTAAGATCTCTAAGCATTCTTCTCATTTTTCCTAACATACACAACCACACACACACACACCATGAGAGGCGCCAACCCCTTCTATTTTAAAGAGACACAATTTATTCTTTTTCCCAAAAGACTCATCTTTTCATCCAAGAGACATATTTCTTCATTCAAGAGCATATTCCAAGTGTCTAGATTCATTGAACCACTCCATGGAACATTTGATTCACTTAGAGCCTTCTAAAATATCTGAAAATAATAAAAAACCGCCAAAAATCCGTCCATAACCGTCTCTGGCGCCGGTTTCTGGTTCCTCTGGCGTCTGTTCTTTGGACTTTGCCGCTGCCGGGGCCTCTGGCGCCTGTTCTTTGGATTTATGGCACTTCTGGGAGGAGTGGCTGGCCACTCCCTTTGAGGACCGGTAAGTCCTCCATATCTCCCAAGTCAAAATACCTTTCCTTCCTCTTCGTTTTCCCAAAACCCACAGCCATGAGCTATATCCTACATGTTTAGCTGGCTGAAATTCACAAGTTTGGGAGATGAATGAATAACGTTTTTAGATTATATGTTAGTAAATACCAATATTTATATAAATTTACTCGTATACTCAAATTTCCTTATCTTATACTTCCAATTTCTCCTCTAAAGTGCAGTTTCTCCTCCAAAAATCTCTCCAAGTTACTGCTTATTATCCCCAAAATCCTCCTTATTCTTCTCTGATTCTCCAGCAAATCCAAATATTCGCTGCTCTCATTTCTTCCTGCCCCGCTTTCAGATTGCAATTGCAATTGCCCTGGACACCAAACCCAGCTTTAACTGGAGAGGAATATGAAAGAAATTCCAAGGTTAGATGAAGTTATTTTTATAGATTTACTTATATATTTAATTTATCTTACCTTCTCAAAAACAATCCTTATGCTAATTCGGTTAACACTTCCCAGACCTAATCGGACGCTGGTCTTGCTCCTGCTCCTGATCGTGCCTAGTTCCGCAGCACATTAAGGGGATGAAGAAAATAAGAAAATAAGGGGTACCTTAAGTTGATGTACATATAAATGTATATATACATTTATATATCTCACTTAATCAATTTAATCCAGGCCTTCAAAATCGGTCAAGCCATTGCATACCGAGTAAGGTGGATCAGCTACACTAACCCGCAATGGTAAATTTATTGAATGAATAAATTTTTAAGGTTATTTAAAGTGAATTTATTTAATTTCACAAATTATTTTAGAAATCCAAATACATTCCTATTATATATATATACTTCCATTTATCAAATTAATAGGAATAAAATGTAGAATTTAATAATATTAAATTTTGGTGATTTTGGTGAAATGCAAAAAAAATGCGGTATATTTTAAAAATATGTTTAAATTACCTTCTTGGTCATTTTCATTATTGCAATATCAACCAAATTAAGCGATTAGTTATTGCCATTAATAAAAATAGACCACTTTAAAAGCTAAAATAATTAACACGAGGGACCATTGTGAAATTACAGAAGTTAGAAACTTTAGCGGGCCTACGTTGGGTTAGATCATTTTTAAAATCGCCGACTTATGTGAAATGTAGCTTAACTCGTGGGACTAGAATGATATTTAACCTTTTCTATTTGTTCTTGCTGAGATCTATTACTTCATTTTACACGCTGAATAATCATATTTAGCACAAATACTGCTTGTATAACCAAATGTCTAAATTATATTCAATTTATGAGAATGCAAGACAACTACATTAGTCAAGCAAATTCGTTTTCCACAAATAGTATTTTCAGAAGTTGTAAGCATTATGTATCTCATTCTAGCGATTACTCCTTTTTGTTAAGCAAATCTCTATAGCATCAAATAAACTCTAACAACCTATATTGAGTTTCTTAACGTTGAGGATGTAGCATTTAAAAGGCGTTACTCAGTTAATCTCTCAAATCCCCTATATTTTCCCTCAGGAAAACCAGAGTTATTGAGGAATTAAAGATTGTAACTCTGAACTTCCTTTCTGACAGAAGTTTTTTTTTTTTTCCTTGTGGTGCTCCGTCATTATAATGTGCGAGATGAAGTTTTGCTTTGTTTGGTCTTTGAAGTTGTCGCAGCTATAAAGTTTTTTTGTTCTGTTTATTCCATGATGAGCTTCGTATAGTGTTAAATAAACAATAATAACCTATATTCAGTTTTCTAAATTTGAAGATATAGCATTTAAAAAACGTTATCCGGGTCTTCTCTCAGAACAATTATGCATATTATGTTCCTGACGGAATATTAGGGGCTTTTGAAGAATTAAAGAATGTAACTCTGAACTTCCTTTTTAACAAAATTCAAATTTTTAGCTTTTGGTGCACTTTCGTTATAATGTGCAAGATGAAGAAGTTATGTTTGTTTGTCCTTTAAGTTGTTGCATCTATAAAGTTATTTTGTTCTGTTTGTTCCATGCAGAATTGCCGCTTGAGCCTTCACTGTCAAGGACTTTAATTGAGGCAAATGAATTAGGGTGCTTGTCTCAAGCATTAACCGTTGTAGCTATGCTATCAGCTGAAATCACACATCTGTCTATTCATAGGTGAACTTATGTTAGTTCTTTTCGTAATCATTCCTCAAATATACATCTTCAATAAAAAGGTTTTGCTAAAATGCAAATTTTCCCTGATTGTAATCACATGCATCAGGGCTCAGCTTTCGTAAAAGAAGGTTGGTCCTGCATGCTCAAGGCCTTATTGTTGGTTGGAGCTTTATGATGCTAAAACCTGAGTATGACATTCTTTCCTAAATTTCACTTTTTTCTTGGTTTTGACTCATGGAAATTCTACAGACTATGATGCATTGATATTTCATTATATTGAAACATGTCATATTGGACAAATAATTGCCTGACACCTTCCATACATGCGTTTGATATGTCTAGCTCTTCTGAGAGCAGTCTTTTTTGTGCAGTGTTTTGAGTCAAACTTTCAAGAGCAGATTAGATTTCAGATCAGATTGTATTGTTCACATTTGGAGTAGAATTTAATATCTGGTTTTAGGTCTCCTGCTAGCTCAAAATCTTATATTTTTTTTAACTCTTCTAATGAAAAGATAGAATTTCTATTAAAATTAGCGTTAGGTGCTATTTATTTGTTGTATAAGACTGTCAGTTTTGGCTTAATACTGATAAATTTCACCACATTTTGGGGGGGGGGATTTTGGGGGGGGGGGGTGTGTGTGGTGTGTGTGTTTGATATAGACTCTAGCCTACATAGAGAAGATGCTTGAACTGAGCCGACTAAATAATCCTTATTAATAGCCATAAGCTATGTAATTTAAGGGGCCTTGCAAATTGGGGTGTCTAATTGGACATTAAGGGGGATGGTGAATCCAACGAAGATGTCATGGTTCCATCATAGACTCTAGCATACTTAGAAAAGATTCTTGAACCAAGCCGACTAAATAATCCTTAGCAATAGCTATAAGTTATGTAATTTAAGTGGTCATGCAAATTGGGGTTGATGGTTGTCTTATTGGCATGTTTAAGCCGACTAAATAATCCTAGTCTTTATCAGGCTTTTTATCTTATCAAGTGCATCATATTATGCACAACTCAGGGGCGCTTAGCTATTTGAGATTATATATAGGGTTCAGATGTGACTGTAGTATAATGTTGTTATGTACGACAAATCACCTGATTATGCTAATTTATAGTTAAAAAAATCATACTGACAGAGACATGGTCTCTATGCCCTAGTATGGTTGATATGGCATCAATTTTTCATGAGCTAAGATTTATTTAAAAATTTTCACCCAGACAAATTGTCAGGGATGAATTGTGAATTTTTTTAAGCTTTAAATTAGAATTTTTTTTAATTTTATATTTCTTTTGTTTTGTGAAAATTTTAGATTCATAGGTCCTTGGAGCATTTTTAAAATAGAATTTTATGTAATTGAGGTTTAAATCAACATGGCCATCATCAAAGTACTTGATTGATTGCATTTAGTTGATTTGAATCCTTCTAGCTATGTAATTTATTTTTAGAGGGCTGGGTTTGTGATTATTTGTATAAATGAATGTTATTTGTATATCCATCATGTTATAGGCTCGGTTAACTATAGTTAAAAGACATTGGAACTAGTATTTAGATTAAGACTTATGATTGTTGCTTATTTTCAATATTGAGAATTTGTATTTCAAACATGAAAGCCTTATGGAAAGCTTTTAAAGGTCGTTTACAAATGTGAGGGAGAAATGATTTGGCAATGTCTATGAGTCTTCCATTTTCAGTCCATAATAATGTCAGTTTATTTATTCAAATTAAGAGCAACATACTCTGTAGTTTAAAAAAATGTTGATTTAATTCTAGTAAAAAATATTAGTTTAAAAAATTCCAGTTCTTAGGAATATGATCCAACTTGCTATGTAGACCTCAAGTCTCCTCAACTCCAATTTGCAAATGGAGCTCAAGTCTCTTCACTCCAATTCTTGTGAGGTGGATTAGAATAATTAAATGAAACTTACTTTGCTATAGGCAGGCTGTCCACTTTAGAGACTACAGAACTTGACGTCTTTTAATTTGATTTCTAAAAGAGAGTTTACATTTTTATGTTTGTTATTAAAAAAAAATTGCATGCTTCTCAAACCACACATTGTACGAGCATTTAAGATATTCTTCGGAGCACATATGAATGATTAATATTAGATGACATCCATGGATCTTGATGCTCTTGGATAATGATATTCATCGGAGTACATAATGAATGATTATTATGTGTATCGATTTTTTATCATTAAATGCCTGAATTTTTAAAGAATATATTCTATTCACTCATATGTGTGTTGTGGAATTATTCTTGTCTTTTAAGGATTAAATTCCTTATGTTCTTTCAAAACATCATTTTTTCGATGTATGATTGTAATGAAGTGTGGTAAGCCCTATGAGGAATCAATTTTCCTTTTATAATCAGGGTCCTCTTAGTCCCTTTCTTAGTTCCTTTTTGCCTTACAATTCACTAAGCTTCATTTTTGTAAGATTTGAGTGTTTTAAGAATAGTACGAAGGTTTTGTGCTTGGTCATATGAATTTTGTTGTGTTCAATATAAGTCTCTTATATGTTCGTTCTGGATTTCATCTTTGTTCAACATTGCTTGCATGATGCCTATTTGTTGGTTTCTATCTAGTTTTTGCACTTTTATTTTGCTATTTTAGTTTTTTTCTGTATTCGCTTGATTGCATTTAAGCCCATAAAAGCTTTTTTATTGGTTCCCTTCTAAATTCATGTCATATGTATTTTGATAGTCTCTCATCATGTCTAGGGGTGTAAACGAGCCGAACACGAGCCACGAGCTGAGGCTCGTGTTCTGCTAAAAGTGTGTTCGTGTTCGACTCGTTTGCTTAACGAGCCGAACACGAGCTGTTCACGAACAAAGAGTCCTTTTAACAACCCTAATCATGTAGTCATAAAACAATAAGGGATTGAACAAGGTTTAAAAAATTGTTATTTATATTAAAACAACATTTGAATCTAATTTAATAATTTTTATTCTATTTTCTTAATCAATATTTTAATTGGTTATAAATCTTTGTAGCCTTGTAGTCAATTATATTTTCTTAAAATACTACTTAATATATAAACTTGATGAGTAGTATTTCGAGCCAAAACGAGCCGAACACGAACGAACACATCTTTGTTCGTGTTCGGCTCGATAACTTATCAAACGAAATTAACGAGCCAAACACGAGCTTCTTAACAAATCGAATGCAAGCTGTTTGCGAACAACGAGCCGTTTTGACAGCCCTAATCATGTCCGTGTTATAGGGCACATATCCTTTGCATATGTACTTTGAATTCAGTTTTTGTGCTGTCTCATTCAACACCTGTCATTGATTATTAGTTTTAACTCAGTACTATTCATATTATCTCATGCCACATTTGTAGGCCAACATAACATGTAATAATTGAGATTTAATAGTTGTAAAATAATTGTAATAATAAACGAATGGACAATGATGGATAAACGTCTCTATGATTTCATCTTTAGGAGATGCATTCCCATTCAAATTGAATGATCATAGAGAGAGAGAGATTGAGAGACAGTGAAGGAAGAAGAGGAAGAAGAAGAAGAAGAAGAAGAAGGAAGGCTGGTGCCTAACCCTAGTAGCGAAATCAATTGCATAAAGGAACACTTACGTGCCTAGGGCAAAAAGACACATTTCTTGCAGCTCTGGTGCGAGTTCGAGCAGTTTCAAGGTGGAAGGCGGACGGAGGAGTTGAAGGAATGAGACATTTCGTGTGGGATTAAATGTACCCTAGCGTATCGGTCGAGATGAAGGATGAGAAAGGAAGAAGAAATGGGAGGAAGGGGAGAAGTAGCCACTTACATGTGTGGGAGGATTTGACTGTTGCATAGCCTAAGGAGGAAACTCTAGTTGAGGAAAGAGGAAGTACCGCGACTTCGAGGATGACCCTCGTGTGCGACGTCTCCATCAAAACCAATGCCCAACAAACTTTGTAGTGTGCGTACAGGTGAGCTAATGCGAAAAAGGAAGAAGTGTAGGAGGAGGCCTGGGGTTCGCGTTGAAGTCAAGTTGTGAGAACATCATGCCTATCGTGATTGTGTGGCTTTTCTTCATGGTTCGAGGACCCTTATGAACGAAAAGGTAGGGTGTTATAGGTGAGCCTCATCTCTCTGCAAGATAGAGCTTTTAGAGTGTGTTTTATATTTGTCAAGAAGAAAGCAAAAGTTCGTCCAACACAAAATATGGAGTGGAAACATCATGGTGATTTGGCTAGGGTAACCGTTAGCACAGAGATCAATCACCACACCACCAATATCATACATGAAACGACATGAGAGTGCACATTCAACACACACTCACAATGCCTATTTTTTCTTACAACCAATACAACCACAAGATAACTTGCACTAACTTAAACATCCAAAGCTGCTGGTAGGAATGGGGGACTAAGGGATGAAGTGTCTTTGTTTGTCTCATAAGTGAGATTATCTAAATGTACTATCTAATTTATAATCACAACCTAATTTGCACTATTTTCTTCCGCCGCAGTTCTTTCTTCCTTCTTATGTTGATTCCAGCATGAATGAACCAGGAGTCATAATACTTGATGGTTATTTCGCCTGGAGGTGGGAGCAATTGGAGTGTAATAATGTCAACTGCTGCCTAGATTGCATATCTTTCCTATGGGCTAATAGGAATGCTGAAAACTTGGCCTGCGATTGAAAGCATTGGAAAAAGGGTTGTATCTAGTGAGGTTGTTTTGAGATCCTTACATACGGATACACGAGTAGGGTTCATAGCTCTTAGTTGGCTGGTTGACGAAAAGGGATACAATTTTTGGGATAGATTCCATTCCATTCACACTTCTTAAAATTGAGTGAATAGATGGGGTGTTTATTTCCAATTACTTCATTCCCACTCCATTTCAATGACTTCTCTGCTTCCATCTCATTCTCTTGTCACATAAGGGAAGCTGCGTATCTCAAAACTCTTAGCTTAGATGATGAAGCAAGTGATCCAATGGAGTAAAGGTGTGTTCCAATCCTTTCCATCCTGAAGAAGTAAATGCTCAACTC